AAGCACTTCTCAGAATTAACTCTAATATGACTGCTGCCTCAATTCACCTCCCAGACAGGTCTCATTTTCTGCTTAGTGTGCTGTGAGAGAGACTTAGGCTTAAATTGTGATTCACCATTAATGTCCTTGGATATATTGCTTAATTTCTGGGTAATCTGAATTAACCCTACAAATGTGGAGCCCACGGTGTACCAGGCATTGTGCCAGGTACTACAGACCCATGGATAAACAGCTTGAACATGCCTGTCTGCAAAGCGTGCAATGTCTGGGAGGCAGGAGAGGTAGCTAAAGGAATAATTTTAATACAGGGCTGAAAAGGAAATCAGACGCACAGATGCCCACTCATCCAACTTGGATGATAATAGTTAATAGACTCGTCCAAAAAGTCAGCAAAGTAGAGGGTCATTAAAAATGTTATCTACATGCCTTAAATGTTCTATTTCAATTTAAAGTAGATTAGAGGTTGCCAAGAGACAGGGGAGCAGGGGAATGAGGAGTGGTTACTTCGAGTACACGGTGTTCTTCTGGGATGATGAACAAGTTTTGAAACTAGACAGAGGTGGTGGTGGCACATCATGAATGCACTAAACGCAATTGGCTTTTGAATCGTTAATTGTATGTATGTTATATGAATTTCATTTCAAAAAATATATAAATGTATAGGCCGGTGCGGTGGCTCATGCCTATAATTGCAGCACTTTGGGAGGCTAAGGTGGGTGGATCATGAGGTCAGGAGTTTGAGACCAGCCTGGCCAATATGGTGAAAGCCCATCTCTACTAAAAATACAGAAAGTTAGCTGGGTCTGGTGCCATGCATCTGTAGTTCCAGCTGCTCGGGAGGGGGAGACAGGAGAATTGCTTGAACCCAGGAGATGGAGGTTGCAGTGAGCCGAGACTGCACCACTGCACTTCAGCCTGGGCAACAGAGCAAGACTCCATCTAAAAAAAAAAATGTATATTATTTTGCCAATCTTTTGATGCCAGACTAAAGACTTTTCCTGAAATGTATGTCCAATAATTGAAGTCCCAGGTTATCTTTCTGACATAAAACACACCCATAAATATATACACATTTTATTTCTATTTTAATTTATTTAAATTGGAGCAAGAACTTAGATACTGACAGATCTATGTCAGAGCAGAATCTTTTTAGATTTTTAATGATTTATTTCCGTTTACAACTTTACATCAATGAGAGCAACTTTTAGAAGCTTACATTTGTCTTTGTACATTATAGAAACAATTTTCTATACTCATATTTTATGAATTTACATAAGATTTCCTCAAATAACACAGCTACAACAATAAGTAAAATTGTTATAAAATAATTTAGATCAAGCACATCTGACTCTTGGTAGGCAAACAATGGAATTCACCTGGTAAGAGCAGTAGTAAGATGGGTGTATAGAGAGCAGCTTATCAGCTTTGAGCCTTGGGGATGGCAGGGCTGTAGTCAGTGTGCTTTACAAGAAATTATGTGTATCGAGCTGATTAAATAGAGGCCCTTTTAAAGGCATTTGTAATACAGTGGATGCCCAGAAGAAGAATACTTAACCTGAACTGGGTGGGGGTTGAGGAACGCCTTTCGGGGGAAGTGATATAAGCTGAGGTCTAAAGGAGTGGAAGAACCTAGCAAGAAGAAAAGTCAGATCTGTTTCAAGCACTGGAAATGGCCAGAGAGAGGAGAACTCTTACACTGGAGGAACAGCAAGAAGTATTGCTGGAGTGTGGCATGCGGAAGGGGATGTGTTGAAGATGAAACTTGGAGAGAATCTTCTAAGCCATGTTAAGAAGTTGAGACTTTATTTTAGGGACAGTGAAAAATCATGGACAATTTTTAAGTAGATGACTGACATAATCAGACTTGTGTTTTAGAAAGATTCCCTGGTCTGCATTTCAGGGACCAGATGAGAGATGGTGATAGGACAGTGGAGGGACAAAGGGTAGGGAAGTCCAGGCTATCAAGGGAGTGGTGATATGAGCCTAGTACTACAGGGATGGAGAAGAGTACACATCAGCTCTGAGAGGCAGGTGGGGGTAGACTACATAGGGGTTTAGTGTATTAGGGCCAAGTGTATTTTGGGGGTGAACGAAAGAAGGAAGACCAGCTTTGGTGATAGTACTATTTGCTGAAATAAGAACACAGAACGCAAGTAGCTTTGGAAAGAAGATGAGGTAAGCTTAGAATATATTGAATTTGAGGTCTAATGAAGCTGTGGGATGTCCACTAAGTAACTCTAAAACTGGATCTCAGAGGTTAAAGTGACCAAAAAGTCATGTAAGGTAAGGAATGGAAAGTAGGCAATGAATTTTATCAATGAGGAGGCCCCTGGAAACATTGGTGAAAGCAGCTTTAGAAAGCAGGTAGGCACATGAGCCCAGTGGTAATGGGCTGAGGAGCATGTGGGCATGAGGAAATGACCACGGGTGCTTAGAGAATTTGGGTTTTGAAGGGGAGGACAGAGTAGGGGAATTTCCAGAGGAGCTGGAAGAGGAGTAGGAGATGAAGAATGTATTTAAGCATTGCTAAATAAGTCAGTAGAAAGGTCTGACACTGCTACCAGTACCCCAGAGCACAGATGGGCCAACAGCTGCTCAGTAGTTTATGCCACAGTGAAGAAGAATGCCTCTTTCTATTTATTCTCTCCATCAAGTATTTCCAAAGCAATATTGCCTGGCTTGCCAAAGCCTCAGAGACTTGGGTGAAGATGTGTCTTCTGATTTTTATGTACTATTCTCTCCTTCTCCAAGGATCCAGAACTGAGTCTATGGAAATCTACACCTGGGATGTTTGTATTTTTTGCATAGATAGGGTTTTGTCATGTTTCCCAGGCTGGTCTTGAACTCCTGAGCATAAGCAATTCGCCCACCTCAGCCTCCCAAAGTGTTGAGATTACAGACGTGAGCCACCTCACCTGGCAGACCATAATGCTTTACATGAGCTTACTCACTTATCCCCTCACAACAGTGTTCCATACCCAAGTGTGGGTTTCTGCATTTAATCCCCTCATTATTTCCTCCCTTTCATTTGCAGCATTTACCTTTCTAATGACTCATCTTAGCAATGCTTAAATATGGTCTTCATCTCCTACTCCTCTTCCAGGTACTCTGGAAATTCCCCTACTCTGTCCTCCCCTTCAAAGCCCAAATTCTCTAACTGATTAAGCACCCATGGTCATTTCCTCACGCCCATATGCTCCTCAACCCATTACCATTGGTGCACACCTGTAGTCACAGCTACTTGGGAGACTGAGGCACGGGAATCACTTGAGCCCTGGAGGTCGAGGCTGCAGTGAGTAGTGACTGTGCCATTGTTAGTTCCTTTCATTCTCTATGCACTGCCCATCCCCCATTTTATTTCATTTGTGCCCTGATATGGTTACTTTGGCCTGTGCCTTTTAGGCTGCATACGTTACCCATGCAATTCTGGATGGGCATCTAGGTTTAGAAACTAGTAGAGACTGGTCCCATGACTTGCCTGTTCCCTCTTCCCATATATGGACTCAGCAAATCCCATTTCTCAAATGTGTACTCTCATTTTCACTGTCATGTTTAGCTGCTCAGCAGAGGTGATGGGCTCCTAACCACATTGGAGTCATCTCATGTACTCACTCAGACTTCAAAGTATCCTAGCTTTCTGTTCTTTTAACTAGGCCAAGATGGGAGCTTTCGGTTCACTGTGGAAAGAGGCTCTTTTCTCCTCATAGCCTTATTCCGATGCTTATCTTTAACTATTAACCAGAATTATTAAATGCTTAGTTCACTGCTTGCACACAGTATTCAAAAAACTAAATTTTCCTTTCCTTAATTCTGTTTGACACATCTCATTTCCTCATTGCTCACCTCTAAGACATTTTTCTGCCATACAAGCCCTCCTCCTCATCTCCTCCTTATGCCCTCTTTTGGTGTTGTTTCTTTCTAATTATTTCTATGCTTTGGAAAAATATAATTTAAAAAATACTGCATGTTCTTTTTTTTACTTGCTATTTTAACATAATTATTTTCTTGTTAAAATTATTAACTATAATTTTGAAAACTGCTAGATTTTTTTTTCCTTTGAGATAAGAGTCACCCAGGCTGGAGTACGGTGGCACAATATTGGCTCACTGTAACCTCAGCCTCCTGGGTTCAAGCAATTCTCCTGCCTCAGCCTCCCAAGTAGCTGGGATTACAGGTACACGCCACCCAGCTAATTTTTGCATTTTTAGTAGAGACGGGGTTTCACCATGTTGGCCAGGGTGGTCTTGATCCCTTGACCTCATGATCCACCCGTCTCAGGAAGTGCTGGGGTTACAGGTATGAACCACCACGTCCAGACAACTGCTAGGTATTTTATCTTACAACTGTATCAAGCTTCATCTGGCCATTTTCCTATAATTGAGCATCTAGGTTCTCATGTGTTTACACATAAATCTTTGTTCACATTGTTTATTATTTCCCTACCTGAGGCTTCTAGAAGTGGGATTACAATGGTAAGCATTTTAAGAGGAATACAAAAGCTAGTTTCACATTAAGAACTAGATGTGATGCTGTTGACTCAGCAGCAGAATACTAACTTTTCAAGTCCCGATATTACAACAAAAAAGAATGGCTTTATTACGCACCTCATTTATTTTATAAATAGCCTCATCTTCTTCATCTTAAAAATATTAATCATCTAATTGCTTATGGTGTTATAAGTTCACTGTTCAGAGAACTATATAGCTCTGATCCCTTCATTCCAAAAATTTACATTCCAAGAAAGATATACCAATGTGAAGATTCACCAAATGCAGACAAGAACTATTGAAAATGCCCCACGGATAGACCTCCAAGTGAGTTTAGGGTAACTGCACTTCAAATATTAGGACCAAAGTACATTTGTTTTATAAATGGGGAAGGGAGCAGACAAGTGAGGACCAGCTGAGACATATTACCTGGACAAATGGAAGGAACAAATGTGTGATCTGCTCATTCTCTATGAGGGTCTCTGTTGTTATGCATTTCCTCCTCTCTTCCAGAGCATAATAAGAAATGGCTGCTCTTAGAAAAGTTCTGTGACCACAGAAAGGTACTCACTTGGCTCTCCAACCTTCTCCCCCATTTCTCTCGACTCTCTCTTCTGTCCCCTAGCCTTGCCTCAGGTCCCTAACGAATCCTGACCTTAATCTGTGGGGGTGGTAGGTGGCACTAGTTTTAAGAGCTTACTGGATCTCCCTCAGTGAGTCAGTCTGGAGTTGTGTTAAAAAACCCAGACCTCCCAGATACCACCTGCTGCTGTCCATCATCATCTTCAGGTGCTGGGCTCCCCTGTGGGCCTCCTCCTCCCACCTCTCTTACACCACAAGAGAACCCATCTAGATTCCAGGAAAAAACTCATCTTGATTTGCCTCCTTCCCACTGAAGGTAAAAACAACATTAATAACCACAACAAATACTTAGTGAGTGTTTACTATTATTCATTTAATTGTTGGTCCTTCCATCCCTGGCCATGACGAGAGGCATGCCATAACTTACTCCTTAAGAGACCTGAGGACACACATACACAAACATATTGGGCATACCATCACTAGCACCAAAACTGATTTTCCCTGTCTACCCAGAACAGGCCTGAGGGAGAGGGAAAAGCGGATACCCACCTGTGTCGCTGTTTATGTGCCAAGTCCAGGAACAGTCCATACAGCCCTGCTGCATCCCACGACGCTGTCATCAAGAAAGAGGTCATCCGAGGCCAAGGTGTCGCCATCAGAATGTTCATCAAAGTAGCGATGCTGACTTCATTCGTAGGCAGATTCTCTTCCTGTGGAGTATCCAGCCTGTTTGCCGAGTTTTCTCGTTCTTCCGGGGTCTGTTTACTGTATTCCAGCTACCAAAGTGATAGAAGTAAAACTGAAAGAGTTCTAAATAGCTTTTTGCCCCCATGTTAGCTGCCTTGCGTTAATGTGGTCCTATCATCATTTGATGATTTGGCGACTGCAGTTATCCATACTAGCTCTCCTACCACTGACTACTGAGAGTTAATTATTATTGAATATCCATCCATCCAGGGTGAGTTATAACTTATGCCAGGTGTTTTGGTGAATAATACTAATGCAATTCATTTTACTGTTTACCCTCTCATCTTAAAGTAATCAGCTGATAAAATAAGATGGATTGGATTGGTACTTAAAGGTTTTTTCTCTGTGAGGCTTTTGCCCTATTCATATTAAACTGTTTTTAAAATTTACTATTCATACTTCCTGTCCATAAATCATATAATCATGTCCTTTTCCCATTTATCCATTGGGAATATTGTTAGTGTTCACATGTATGTTTGAATAAATTTTCATATACTTGGTGCTGATAATTCTATTTTTCATTTGTGTTAACTTTTTTTGTATTTACTGTTAATTGCTTCTCTTACTTAGAAGTTAGAAATTTATGTAATTATATTTGACTATTTTATTTAATTTCCAATGTCTTCATTTGCTCCACTTGTAAGAAAATTATCACTTTAAAGTGAGACTAAAAGCCCTATATATTCTTTTGGGTCTCTATTTCCCACCATCCCTGAGATTTTACTCTGACATTCTCTGGGCCTTATAGCCGAGGCCCCATAACTATTCAATGCATTATTTTCACAAAAGTTTGATGCTTGTGTTATGACTTCAATTGAGTAGTTACCTTAGAGCCTATTACCTACTTATTTATCCTGTATTTAGAACTATTTCTCATGTTTTCTGTTGTCCATGGGGCTTATAAATCACACCCAACTTCACTCATTCTCTTACTCATTTCGTTATTCACTCATTCACACTTCCATTTATCCATTCATTTACTATATTTGGCACACAAACTCTAGGGTGACCAACAGTGATCCTTGCTTCCTAGTGTGTTCACTCTTGTGTGTAGGCAGGACCTGGGACTTGCTTTTAACCAACAGAATATGACAAAAGTGGTGAGATTTCTTCCTGTGATTGTGTTACATAACATAAGCCTCTGTCTTGCTAGTAGAGTCACTCTAGACACTCTCCTTGTTGGCTTGATGAAGTAAGCAGTCATGCTGAGGAAGCTCTCCTGGTGAGGAACCTTGGACAGACTCCAGCTAGCAGTCAGAAAGAAGCCTGGATCCCTGGTCTTAGAGCTGCATGGAAATGAATTCTGCCAATAACCTGAGTGAGCTTAAAAGGGGTTTCTTCCTCAGTCAGGTCTCCAGATGAGTACACAGCCCAGGTGATACCTTGATTGCAGTGTTGCAAGACTCTAAGCAGAGGGCCCATTTAAGCCATGCCCTTACCTAGAAACTGTAAGATAATAAATAGTTATTTTGAGCCACAACGTATGCAAAGTATGCAGTAATTAGTTATGCAGAAATAGAGAATGAGTACACTGTGCTATGCTAATTATCATATGCATGATCTCTTAGTGTTTCAAGTAATGTCATAAGCCTGATATTAATATTATCTTCATTTACAGAAGGAGAAACTGATGCTCAGAAGTTGATCTCCAGAATGTTTTGCTCTTAGCCACTATGCTATTATGGCATGTTTTATCTTAATGTATTGCATTGTTTCATGGGTTCAAGTTTATCATGTCCTTAATGTATTTGACAGGTTTTAGCAGATAGACAAGTTTAAAAATTTATCTGCTAAAACCTGTCAAATACATTAAGGAAAAGTCCTGCATGGCTAATCTCCCACACAAGGTAGATGTTTTTAAGTTCAACTCTATAAAGACATTTCATTTAACTTTTTTGTGCTGTACTTATACATCTTGTAGAAATAATATTTGATTCATGAATAGGAAAGGTTTTCTTAAAAGTGATGGACTGTGAACTATTTAGAAGAAAGAATAATCATGGCAGACATGAGTGCAAAATGCTTTGAATTTATCTGGAATTAGAACATTGAGAAAAACATTAGTTAAAATGTGCTGCAGCTTGAACTCTGTCTTTAATTTTGCTATAAGACTAAAACATTTAATCCGTGTCTTAATGTTAACATTTCTGATCAGGTATAGGCAAAAATATAATATAGAGATATTTTGAAACAGGGTTTTTTTTAAACAACTAAAGTCCTATTTGGTTCACTGTTCTGAGGAGTTAAGGTGGAGTTGTGATGTCTTCTAATAAAAGTCCTTTTTGTTCTGCATTATCAGATGTTAATTATTCATACTGCATGACTGAGGATTTTGGAGGCAGAAAGAGATTCACCTGCGATATCTGGAACACCAATGGGGGTCTACACCAACACAGAATTTATACAGCAGCTGGTGCTAGTCAAAGCTAATGAGAGAATTTCAGTTTAATAAAAAGACCCCCAACTGAGCACACCATCTTGAAAAAAGTATACTTATCAAACAACTTTCAATCAGTTCAAGAGAGACACCTTAATTGGCAAGAGGAAGAATTGCAGAGTAGTTTGTAATCATGCCAATTCTAGATCAATAACTGCATGTCTGTTCTGTGGTAGACATAGCTTTTGCTTCATATGAAGTAATCACATATAAATTCTCTCTATTTGGATAAGGGAACCTTTGCTTTATTTGACGATGTATAATGATATCCTCTTTTAATACACCTTTGTGTCTTCATAATAAACACGAGTAAAATTTAGACATGTGATGGTAAAAGTCAATATAATTGTTGATTTTAAAAATAAACTTTGTATCTAACAGGAAAGCAGTGCTTATGAAATTTTTATATTTTCAAAAATAATTTTGTTGAAATAAAATTATATGAATAAAGTTAAATGATGATGGTTTAACTATAAGAAGAGTATAGTGTTAAGTATAAGAAGATTATCAGTGTTCAGTATAACACTGATAATCTGACTTGTATGAGATTACTTCAGGGAAGGCTGTACAGAATAATCTAATAAAAAACAAAAGAAGACAGTTTGCTTTTTGCAGGAAGGATTTGAAATACTAAAGAACAATATGATTCAGTCATCGAGTCTTAGTTTCCTCTTGTTAAAAGGAAATAGTCAAACTGGTGGTTTTCAACTTGTTCATAGGCTACTAGTCTCAGTGGTGCATTACAGGGCACTATGGGGCAGGCAGGGCAGGTGAAGAGGGTAGCAAAGGGAATATGACCCAACAGGGAGGTTGAGACAAAGCCTGCAGTGGGAGTGGCGGGGCGGGGGGCTGTGCAGTTTCCTTTCTCACATCAACAAGGGTACATCCTTTCTTTCTTCCTGCCTGTCTTTCCCCCCTCTTCCTTCCTTCCCTCTCTCCAAACGGTATCTATTTATATAACATACATTTAGGAATGAAAATATTGGGCTTCTATATAAAATTTCTTTTTGCAAAATAGGGTTCCTCTGCTAAAATGCAGTTTGAAAATCACTGGACTAGATAATTCTAAGTTTTCTTCCTTCTGTGTTTCAGTGACTGTTACGATTTCAAGATCCAGGAACACCACAGCAAGGGAGACTGAAAATCTTTTAGGACACACAACGAACACCTATCTTGCGCAAATGGTAGTTTATCTAAGAGGCAAAGCTATGGGTGAAATGGCAGCTTATGACACTTTCAGATATACGGGACTGTTTTAGTTCATTTGTGTTGCTTTAAAGTATCCCTGAAGCTGGGTAATTTATGAAGAAAATAGGTTTATTTGGTTCACAATTCTGCAGGCATGACACCAGCATCTGTATCTGGTAAATGGCAGAAGAAGAGGAGGAGCCAGCACACAGAGACCACATGTCAAGAGAGAAGAAATAAGAGAGATGGGGAAGGTGTTAGGCTCTTTTTAACAATTAGCTCTCAGGGCAACTCCCATGGGATCTAAGAGTGGGAACTTGCTGTTTACTGTGAGGATGGCATCGAACCATTCATGACGGATTCAACCCCATGATCCAACACCTCATACCAGGCCCCACCTCCAACACTGGAAGTCAGCTTTCAAAATGAGACTTGGTGGAACCAAACAAAACATAGCAGAAACTGTGTTTAATAGGTTCAGTTTTTTGGGTTTTTTTTTCCAGAGTAACTGTGTAGAGCAGAGCCATGTTCACTTAGGCACTTAATCTACTCAATGATGTTTGGGCAAAGGAATACTTATGACTTAATTTTAAAAATAAAAGCTTTTTGCATTTAGAGAATGATATGCTATTAGAGCTGGCAGGATACTCTGAAGTCATCTTACTCATTTTATATGTTTATTTACTCATTAAATTGATAAATTTTTATCGAATTTGAATATGTGCCAGCCATCATGTTAGGTGTTAGGAATACAGTATATTGTCCCTATCTGTATAGAGATTATGCTTTAGTGGAGAAGACAGGCAATTAGACAATCATACACATGAGCATATAATTACAAACTGTATAAGTACTATTAAACAAAAGAAAAGGGTTCCCTGAGATCTATATTGGAGTGTTCATAGAAAACATTGGGCTGCAGAGAGCAAAAGTGACTTGCCTCAAGTCAGAGTGCACCACAGGGCTGGCACTAGACTTAGCCACCTGTTCTCTCTGTCTCACTAGCATAGCTGTGAAGTCTAGGTCCATAGCAAAGGCTAAGTGATAGAAATCAGAAAGCCATGAACTCCTGCCCTGGCTTGTGCACTACTTTGGAACCTTGGGCAGCCTTGGGAGACACCCAACGATCTACACGAAGAATGGAAACTTCAAACTTTTGAAAATGATTTTCTTCATTGGTTAAGGTCCCTGTGCTTACAATGTAGTTGAATAGAGGCTGAAAATGGTCTGCAGGGGTAGTAAAGTCCATGATTAAAGAAGAGTAATTCCTTAGTAGCTACAGCAAGGCTATTCTTTATTTAAAACCTTCAGGCTGCAAGCAGGTTCAACAGCTTTCTCGAGTCTACTTTGCTGTAAAACAAGTGGTTTCTTCCTTTCCTTTGCCCAGATAGGTTTGCCAGACCTATCAATTAGAAGAAAACCTAAGTTAAACTAACATTACTAAAATATTAGCTAAGAGCAACTATGATGAAGCCATTCTCCTATCTGAAGATAGCCAACTGGCATAGCTTTCTGCCCATGTGGCTAATGGGGAGTCTGAGGTTATTTTCTCTGACAAGAATCTGATGAGTAGAGACAGAGTGAGTCTGGTTCGTTGCTGAGCCATAAACTTTGGAGATGCAACAAATATACAGCCAAACTGGTACCATTTCATGAGCACTGAGAAGCTTCACCTGCCTACATGGATGCCATCTACCTCTGGGAGGCACCTGGCATCAGGTAGTTAACAACCTAGTGTTTGCTGGGATAAGCAATTGACCTTCATCAATCTAAAGCCTAAATCACAGTCAAGTGAGCACTGGATTCGTGAATAAATGGGATTATAGCATAGAAGTAGGGTGGGTGGGTGGGTGGGTAGGGGTGTGTGTGTGTGTGTGTGTGTGTACGTGCACACGCACATGAGAACTTTTTCCTTTTGGTAAACCTCCTCCCTCCCCATCTCCTTTCCTGCTGCCCCACCCCTGCCATAACCCATGCTACAAAATTAGCATGTATCTTCAAGTATTTTAAAAATCCATGCTCATATAATCCTATCTAAGCATATATATGTACAAAAAAATCTACATACATAGATTTTTGGGGCCTTTATTTTTTTAGAAAAACAGAGTCATATTATACATCTTTTTCCTAAATTTTTCATTTTCACAAGGAAATACAGTTCTACTTCATTTATTGGATGGATGTATACGATTTACTTTGTTTCCAGTTTTCTGCTACATTGAATAATGCTCAGATTAACTCCCTTGCTCATGTGTCCCTGTGTACTGGGACTTTTATTTTTATAAGATAGATTTTCTGAAGTGTAAATTCTGAGTCAAAGATATATGGATATTGAATTTTAATAAATGTTGCCCATAGCCAGGCATGGTGGCACATGCCTGTAATCCCAGCTACTTGGGAGGCTGAGGAGGGAGGATCACTTGAGCACAGGAGGTCAAGGCTGTAGTGAGCTATGATTATACCACTGCACTCCAGCCCAGGCAATAGAGTGAGACCCTATGTCTAAACAAATGAATAATGATAACAAAATAAACGTTGCCCAATTGTTTTCCAAAAAGGATTGTAATAATTCTTATTTCCACCAGCAATGAGAACACCATTTTCCTCCAGCAGCCATACCAAAATGGATATCCTCACACTGATATTTTTACCAGACTGATGAGTTTAAACCTCATTGTAATTTATTTTCCTTTTTTTTTTTTTTTTTTGAGACAGAGTTTCGCTGTTGTTACCCAGACTGGAGTGCAATGGCATGATCTCAGCTCACTGCAACCTCTGCCTCCTGGGTTCAAGCAATTCTCCTGCCTCAGCCTCCCGAGTAGCTAGGACTACAGGCGTGCACCACCATGCCCAGTTAATTTTTGTATTTTTAGTAGAGACGGACGGGCTTTCACCTTGTTGACCAGGATGGTCTCGATCTCTTGACCTCGTGATCCACCCGCCTGACCCCCCAAAGTGCTGGGATTATAGGCATGAGCCACCGCGTCCGGCCTATTTTCCATTTTTCTAATTATGGGGAATTTAGACACCTTTTCACAATTTTGTAGGTCACCTGGTTTTGCTCCTCTGTGAGTTGTTTTCTTTTTATTTTGGGCTGTATGTTGGAAAAACTCATATATTAATATTGTATTTCCCATCTGTGTTAAAATATTTTTAATTTATTACTTGTCTGGTTTTCATTCTTATGTGAAACACATTTATTTTAATATATCTAAATCTGTGAGGAGTGTCCAATCTTTTGGCTTCTTCTGGCCACACTGGAAGAAGAATTGTCTTGGGCCACACAGAAAATACAGTAATGCTAATGATAGCTAGTGAGCTTTAAAAAAATTGCAAAAGAAATCTCATAATGTTTTAGGAAAGTTTATGAATTTGTGTTGGGCCAAATTCAAAGTTGTCCTGAGCTGCATGTGGCCACAGGGTGCAGGTTGGGCAAGCCTGATTCTTTTATATATATGTGTATATATATATATATTTAACAGCTTCTAGGTTTACTGTCTTATTTATGGAGACGTCCCCATATATGTACATTCTTAAAAAACTTCTATTCTCTTATTTTTATGTCTAAGTTTTTAATCCATCTGAAATTATTTTTGTATATGAGTTCAACTTTGTTTTTCTATACTATTTAAAAGCAATCACCTTTTTTACTGAATTGAACTATTGTTTTCATCATGTATTAAATCCTCATATATATTAAGATCTATTTCTGGGTTCTATGTACTGTTCCACTGATTTGTTTATTCCTCTGCAAATATCTGATTTGTTTTTAGAGCCTTTATTATATCTTCCAATATGTGGTAAAGCATGTCCTTCCTAACTATTTTTTTTTCTTCTACTTAAAAATGGTATTTTCAGGCATTTGTTCCTTTAAGTAAATGTTAGGGTCAATGAATGTGAACAGAAGTTACGTGTGTTTCTCCTGGCCAGAAGCTTTAGCACCAGTATGTGATTTACCTCCTTCTCGTTTCTTATCTTGGGGATGACAGAAGCACTTGTTGAGATAAAACTTTCAGCTTGGGTTTATGAGTTACAAAGATGAGCAGAGCCACCCTGATTACCCATGTTGGACACACAGAAGCAGCAAGCAATCAACTTTGCTGTGTTAAGCCACAGAGACTGTGAGTGATTTGTTACTGCAGTATCACCCAGCTCATTCTGACTGATGAGAATGCCGTGAGACTTATTTCAGATGACACACATAAAACGTGTATCCAAAGACACAAATCAACTTACGTGTCAATAAATATTGGCCAATATAATTAAAA